TTATCCAAATACTCCAACAAATTCACAATTTGTCTAACATTGTTCTTCATATATCTTCCATTTATAAATCCAGACTGATCCACATGAATAATCTGTTTCATTACTTGCATTAGTCTATTAGCTAATATTTTTGCAAAAATCTTATAATCCGTATTCAATAAAGATATTGGTCTGTAATTTTTGGGCTGGGTCGTATCTTGGTCCTCCTTTGGTATAAGTGAAATAAATGCACACCTCCAAGATGGTGGTATTTGTCCTCCCATTAAAATATCATTAAAAAGACATCTCAAGGGTTCTAACATTTCTTCAGATAATTTTTTATAATAAATTGTGGTAAACCCATCTGCACCAGGGGCCTTACCAACCTTCAATTGTTTAAATGCCTCTGCGATCTCTTCCAACGTGATCATACCGTTCATCGATCCTTTTTGATCCTCAGAAAGACAAGGCAAATTTGCTTGTTGTAAATAATTGTCTATTTCATCAGATTGTATATTCTCAGAGGCATACAATTTAGAAAAATATTCTGAAAAAGCCCTTTTAATCAATTCCTGTTGAAAAACTTCTTTACCCTTGTAGTTCATTTTCTCAATAAGTCTTTGTTTTTGTTTCTTACGTAATTGGTACGCTAACCATCTTCCAGGTTTATCTGCATTGCAAAATGTATTATGTTTCATATATTTCAAATTAATAGCAATTTGATCAGAAAGCAACATATTATACTGTTCTTTCAGCATTACAATAGATGCCTTTAAACTCTTATCCATTGGATTTAAGGAGAAAGCTTTTTCCTTTATTTTTATCTCTTGCTCCATATCTTTATACTTTTGTTGCTGTTTTCGCTTATAAGCAGAGTTTATTGAAATTAAGGCACCCCTCATAACTGCTTTGCTTGCATCCCAAACCATCGATATAGAGGTGCCCTTATTCATATTCAACGCGAAGAATTCTTTTAAATAGTCTTTAAGTTTCTGCACATTTGTTTCATAATTCAATAAATTCTCATTCAGTCTCCAAGTCCTTCTACTACCTCCATCAGTTGAAATCTCCATCCATACAGGACTATGGTCCGACAATATCTTAGGAAAAATCTTCACCTTCTTAACCCTAGGAATCAAGTCAGTAGTAATCAAAATAAAGTCAATTCTGGAGTAAGATTGATGCCTATCCGAAAAAAAGGTGAAATCACTTTCTCCCATATTCCTTTCACGCCATATATCTCTTAACTCAAGGTCTTCCTGTAATGCAAAAAAATTTTTAGGCAATTTAATTTGCATTGAAGTTTTAGCTGAAGTCTTTTTATCTCTTTTTGGATCTATTACGCCATTCCAATCTCCCATCATGATAACAGATTTATAATCCAATTGCATTATCTTTTGATGCAAAAGAGTAAAAAATTGCTTTTGTTGTTGATATAAATTGGGTGCATATAAGCCCACAAGAAGACATTTTTTCCCATTCAAAGTAGTTTCAACAAATACAAATCTTCCTTCTGCATCAGCATCTATTAACTTTGGCATCAATTCCTTCTTAACATAAAGAACTACACCCGCTTTTTTCTTTTGAGCAGAGGCCGCAAAATATAAACCAAATTTAGGATTAAATAGATACTTTTGGTCTTTTAATATGATATGTGTCTCTTGTAAACATATAATATCATTCTTATGCTGCTTCAAATAGTAAAATATTTTTCTCCTTTTTTGTGGTGAGTTCAGTCCATTAACATTTAAAGTTATTAATTTAGCCATCCTTTGGCTTTTGGAGCTTCTGAATCATCCCTTGCAGATCCATCATGACAGATCTTTTAGGTCTGGCCCCTCCCACTGGCTCCNCCCAGCAAATGTAAAGGCCATTCCAACTGGTATTTCCCATCTAAAAGGTATTTGCTGCTTCTTCAACTCTTGAGCCAAGAAAGCAAACTCCTTTCTTTTTCTTAAAATCTTTGAAGGTATTTCTTTCAAAAGTATAATATCCTGAGCAGCAATCTGAAATCTCTGTTGGTAAAAGGCCTGTATAATTTCATTTCGACGTGTTTTTCTAGAAAAATCAACAACAACATCCCTAGGTTGTTTTCTCTGACGTGCGACCCATGAATTGACTCTAAATATTTTTTCAATCTCTCCATAGATAATTTCAGGGTCGCAGTCTAAAACCAACACTAAGGCAGCTGATACCTCTTCTCTCAGTTTCTCCTGTGCATCCTCTCACAAGCCTCTGATTCTTATTGCGTATTCCATTTCTCTGAATTGTGTCATTACAATGTCATTTTGAGTAATCTCTATACTCTCTTCTACTTTTTCCATTCTCTCCTCCATCCCTTCCATTTTTTCCCCCACTTCCTCCACACGAGTCTCTATACGCTCCATATGAAAAGCAAAGCCCTGAAAGATTTGAGACATACTCTCACACAATTCATCATTCTTTTTAGCAAGAAGCTCTTCTGTCTCCACTCTCATTTGTTGCACAATTTGTTTAGACATCTGCATCTGCATCAAAGAATCCTGCAAATCCTTTAAAGTAATATAAGGTGGTGAGGAGGGTGGAGGAGTTTTTGCTCTCTGTACAGCTGGAGAAGAAGCAGCTGGCTTAGGTGCTGCAGCAGCTGCACCTCGTTTAGAAGCCATTCTTGAGTTTAAAAAAAGTCAATATACAGTCCAAAGTAGCTAAAGATCAAACAAATTTTCCTTTAATTTTTCCTTAATTTTTGAAAATTCTTTACAGTCTTAACAATGTGGCAATCCACAACCGGAAGGAAAGTGAAAGTGTCTCTTTAGAACAAAGAAGCGGCTAAGCCGCAGCCATTTTTCCCCCCCAAAAGTTAACTTTCGATTTCAGTCATTTGAGAAGAGTACTTTAATCTTCTGAGTCAAAGTTTTAATTTCATCATGAGAAGTCCAAGTTTCCTAGTCAGCTCCGTCTGTTAATATTACTCACAGTTAAGTTCGAAAAAAAGATCAGAGGTGGAGACGGCGTCTGGCTTCGCTAAATAGCGAAGACGTCCCGATCTGCAGAGAAACTCTGAGCTCCGGAGGAGTTCACACCTTCGCCTCGCTGGGAGCCCCCAGGGAGACTAGGGAACTCGACTCCTACTCTAGAGTAAGCTCTCCTTCTCTCCTTTGCCCGGAGAGAAGTTTCAAATCACCAAACAGCTGATGCGCGCTGTTTTGGCGATTTTTACACAGTCCCGGACGGGAGGCTGTCAAAAAGCCTCCTTTGGCAGCCGCCAAACCACCGGAAGTCCCATATAGCTTTTTTCTTTAATAAAACATATTTTTAATGTATGCCATATTGCTAGATTGGCATTGCTTCCAAAGTGTTTAATTAAAAGGGTACTTGATTCACTCTTTTTATTAAAAATAAAGAGTGAGTTTACATTGTCCAGTTGCAATTACATTGCAGCGGTTCATTGTACATGAAATAGATGAGGGAAGAATACAGAAACTTGTTCAAAGTTTTGAAAATGGGCCATTTCATGCTGTAATTAGATTCACCAGGGTAAAAGATAGGTGTAATTGTACTTGCCCTTGTTTCCTAATAGTGTTGCTGTGAAACAGACTAGAGTGATTATACATTTTTTCTTCCTAGCATTTTCCGGCAAATGCAGGGTCCACTTCTTTCAGATCAACTGATTGTTGCTCCATTGATTATGATACGAATTGCTCGTCCCACTTGTTGCCCAAGCCTGACGTCAGGGGCTAAGAGGGAGGGACTGGCCCAAAGTCACCCAGCTGGCTTTCATGCCTCAATCTGGCAAACAGAACTCACCGTCTTCTGGAATCTAGCCTGGTGCCTTAATTCCTAGACCAAACTTGCTCTCAACTAGATTGATTATAAATAACCTAGGAAAAAGGGATGGTTTTAAATCATTGGTTTAAATTAGATGGTAATTCCTAAATACCAGTGTAGTCTAAAACTTGATTTAAGTTGCTGCGACTGTGCATCGGCATCACCTCATACCTACACTGCAAAGAGATTGATGGGTAAGTGGAGGTTGCAGATGGCTGAAGATGGGCCACGTGCACACTTCCACAATTCCAGTTGCACATTCTAAGGAGGTACACATCCTGCATGCTGATTGGTTGATCCTGCTTCCTGTTCTGTGCCTTGCTGTTTGACCATCCCCTACCCAAAATGTTACCATATGCAGAAATATAAATTGAACATCTATGCTATCATCCCCAAACAACAGATGTGTACGTTCCCTGGCATGCAGTGATGGAGAAGTCTAATCCAAGCTTAATTCCTTGATGTATCTTATGAAGTAATATTTTAAACTACAAATTTATATTTGTATTATCTCAAGAACAAAGTTTATGAATTGGTAGCTACTTTCAGAGTGCACACACATGTATACCCATTACAAATAGTCCTTGTTTACCGAGTATTCATTCAGTGATCGATCATAACTACGATGAGTCTTCATAATTGTAGCTATTGTAGCATCCCCTTGGTCAGTCATGTAATCTCAATTTGGCCACTTGGTAACCATATCACACTATGACAGTTGCAGTATCCTGTGATCATGTGATCACAGTTTGCGAGTTTCAGAGGTGCTTCCACAAGCAAAGTTAATGGGGAAGCCAGCAGTATGAGTTGAGGTCCTGTAATGTGTTTAACGAACCATGGCAATTCATTTAATTATCTTGACAACTGATGTTAAGTCATTGCAGTCGTGATGTACTTGATGACTGTGACCCTTAGTGATGGAGTTACCAATCCCTATTATGGTCATTGAAGACAGCCTGTATTTATCATAGTTCTATTTATAAGTTTGGATTTATTTAAATTTAGAATACTATCCAGAGAAAAGGTTAAGAGACTTTGAGTAAAAAGAGATATTTGTGTTTCTGTGTGTGAACATATATTTATGAATAGATTACTGGAAAATGTTTCAAAATGAATGAGACTTTTTAAATAATAGATTAAGCATAAGTATGATAAACTACATGTAAAATTGCTAATATTAAACTAAAATTGATCATTCTTTTTTTTATTCCCAGTTTTAACATTTCCTTATGGCCTGTGTGGTCATTTCTGACACCTCTGGTGCTCTTCATCCAGTTTATGGGTATAGTGATGCTTGTGTCCCTTTTGGGCTAGACTTTGCACGGTAAGACTGTACGGGTACTTAACTCTGTTTCTTTGTATGACCAAATCTCTTCATTTTCATACAATTGTAAACTTGGAACTCATGTTCCAAGACTGATCAAAGCAAAATAAAATGGAACTATTACTTTCTGTGGTTTGGAAGCTGTCTTTTATGGAACTGTGTTGTGTTTTTTGGTAGCTGCATCACTCAGTCTGAAGTACTACTATCAGCACCAAAGCTCCTGGTAGTTGATTGATCTTAGCCGAACTTGAAAAACTTCAGCAGAACTTAAGTATATCATCTGCAGATTTAATTGTCATTCCTACCATTTCATCTAATATTGAGTATCTGAAAATTACTTTCTCATTGTTACATTGTCCAGACCGTACTTCTTTGCTTATCAGAATGTCCTTATGTATTTCATCAAATGCTTGATGACTTCAAGATTTGGAAGATCCATTTGTGAAAGAGACTACCTGAGATATGGTTCTTAACAAACTCCTGATTTCTTTTCATTGTTGCATTGTTTTTATAATCTCTTGGCTGAAATCTCTCATATTTTGTTTAGGTTCTTTTCTACTATTGATGTCAGAGTGAATGGTCTGGATTTAATCATTCTCCTCATTTTGAAGTTTGGGGCAACACCTGCTCTCTGCCACTTCAACGTCAGAGAGAATACATAAAGGATCAGCAAGACCATCATCAAGTTTCTTCAGTACTGTAAAAGGAAAGATTTAATTAGAAGTACATAGAGATTCCCTGGCCATGTCTCCTTCATTTTCAAACTTCATTCTTATTCCTCGTTCTGTTCTTCATTTCTTGTTGAGCAAAACGGAACCATTTGCATTATAAAAAGGATAACCAAAAGCTATGTTTAAACAAAATGCCATTCATTTGTTTGCAGGCTGAACTGCCAGCTAGCAGGATTTGAAGATTAAACCTGCAGGTAATAAAGTTTGGACAGTCTAAAATCTCATCTTCACTGAGCAAAGCAGTTGAACTAAAGTATGGTTATGAAATTTCATATTCTCTGAACTATTTTTAAAGTTTCAAGATATTTACATCATATTGCTGATGTAGAAACAGCATAATTGCATTTGAATTGAAGCTCAATTCTTCATCTATGTGTATTATACAGAATGGTGAACATATTTTGCAGGGTCTAATATACTCAGATCCCTTCTCTGTCATAAATTTATTAGATCACTTTAGTGAAATCAAAGTCAATTCCAGTGCCCCAATGTTTAGTGATTTTCAACATAATGCTGATTTATATATAATATATGTATGTGCCTCTTTAAAAAGCCCTTAGTAAAACCAGACTTAGAATACTGCATCCAGTTTTGGTCACCATATTATAAAAAAGATGTAGAAACTCTGGAAGAAGTGCAGAAAAGAGCAGCAAAGATGATTAGGGGGCTGGAGGTTAAAACATGAATGGTTGTAGGAATTGGGTTTGTCTAGTCTGATAAAAAGAAGGACTAGAGGTGACACAATAGCAGTGTTCTAATATCTGAGGGGATACCACAAAGAAGAGGGAGTCAACCTATTTTCCAAAGCATCAGAAGGCAAGACAAGAAATGATGGAAATTAACCAAGGAGAGAAGCAAACTAGAACTAAGGAGAAATAATGTGAGAACAATTAACCAGTGGAGCGGCTTCAGAAGTTGTGGGTGCTCCATCACTGGAGGCTTTTAAGAAGAGACTGAACAGCCATTTATCTGGAATGGTATAGGGTCTTCTGCTTGAGCAGGGGCTTGGATTAATAGACCTCCAAGGTTCCTTCCAACTCTATTATTCTGTTACTCCAAGAATTATATATATCCAGGGATATGAAATACAGTACTTTGAATGCTTGAAAATGCGATACAAAATTTAAATGGTGGCAGGCTCCACTTGGAAGGAAAAGTAATTTATAAATAAAATTGTTTGCGTCCCTTTGGGTTCTAACTGAAATTTTAAAAAATTGGATTGTAATGAGTTACTTTTATTGTAATTTATTTCATGGAAAGACAACAAATACAGTTTCTTTTATTAAACAGCAACCCAACTGGGACAGTATCTGTAACAAAATCATTTTAATCCTTTAACAGGATATTTAGCTATTGGGATCTAGTGCAGGGCTTTTCAACCGGTGGTACACATACCACTTGTGGTACTTTGCCACATGGCAGCTGGTACGTGATTGCTAGCCAAGTATACCAGGGGAGGAAAATGAGCCAAAGCAAGCCAAGCCTGAGGGAGAGGAAACTGCAGCTGCAGGACTGTCTGGGCTTGACAGAAGTCCCAGGAGCCGGCAGGGCTCCAGCTGATTGGCTCCAGCTGATTGGCGCTTCCGGAAGCAGCTTGGAGCTGGAGGTGAACTGAAGAAAAAGGGAGGGGAGAGGAGAGGCTATAAAAACGTGGTTTAGGTGGGGGAAGGGGAAAAAAGACATCAGGAAAGGTTTAATCCCTTTAAACAAATGTAATTAGTTTTACCCCCTTTAATTGAGTCTGTCTGTGGCTTTTAGAAAGTTTTCTTTGAAGGTAAATAGGCTTAATTTAAAGCTAAAGCTTTTCGCAATTGCCAGAACCTTTCAGTCAAGGATTGCAACATTGTGACATGTGACATGGCTGAGGCAGCTGAAAGAGAGAAAAAACGGAGTTTGTGTTTCTTTATTTTCTTGCTTTTCACTTGATTCCTGTGTCTTTAAGGGTACAGGGAAGGGATTGAAAAAGCTCAGAAGGGCCAACCAGGTAGCTCAGGAGTCTACAAACTTAGCAACTTTAAGACCTGTGGACTTCAACTCCCAGAATTCCTCAACCAGCCATGAGGGCTGAGGATTTCTGGGAGTTGAAGTCCACAAGTCATAAAAGGGCCAAGTTTGAATTCATCATACATTTGTCAGTGCAAAGGGAAAGTGATTCAGCAAAGGAACAGCCACAGAAGAAATTAAAACTGGTACTTTTTTCCCTTTTTTCTACAGTTTGTAATATTTTATTAGATTATAGAATAAAATACAAAAATATAAAAGCAAATAGTAGGACACAGTAGTGAGGAAAAGGGGGAAAGTGAGGGGGAGAAGAGAAAAAGAACATATTTCCTCTGTTGCAGTAGAAGGAAGCATTAACATTGAACCTAATCAGTAATTCATCGGCTTTAATGCCAGGCTCAGATCCGAATTGGGTTCAATACTAGGGCTTGAGTAACTGAGGGCTGGGAGTAATGATCCAGGAAAGATTACAGCTGGTGCAAAAACCAGAGCTCTGCAAAAGTTCTCCAAGTCACACCTGTCAGATCCCTGGCAAATAATTGAAAATCATATTTAAAAATCCCTTCTCACTCCTATGGGTGGTCTATATCAGGGCTTTTCAACCTTTTCACCAATTGTACCACTTTTAGGATATGGCAATATTCGAGTATCACCTAGCAAGGTGTCAAAAACGTGATGACCAAAAAACCCCAAAAAATCTGTTGAAAGTTGCAAAACGTGACTTTACTGAATACTGGTAAAAAGTGTGAATACTGGTAACGTCGTACGGGTCCCAGTACACTAAATATAAACCTACGAACCGTTGACTAAGTATAAATACTACCAGTGTCACAAGGTCCCAGTACACTAGGGGAAAACGTTGGAAAACTGTTCGTTTCAGTTACCGTCCCGACGACCACCGGTAGTGCTAAGGCGGGACTTTCCTCCCTTCCTCTTTCTCATTCCCATCTCCTTCTGAAGGAAGAATTTGAAAACCCCCCTCCCCCTATTTTCTCTCTTCCATATATTCATCAAACAAGGAAAAGCCTCCAGAGACAGAAAAGACAAGCTGCTGAGTGAACTATCTTAAAAAGGCACATTCCCCTTTAAGAATTAGCTACTGGCTAGAAAAGAAAGTTAAGCAGCCAGCACTTAAGGAAGAAAAAAAAATGTAAGTACTGGCTGCCGCTAAGGCAGCCTTGCCAAATGGCTCTATTCTTAAGTAAAGGAATGCTACAGGCAAAATCCATTCAGGAGAAAAATACTTCAAAATCCCTTGCAGCAAAACTTACAGCTAACAATAGCAGAGCAATAGAAACTAACAGGAGCCATCAGCCAAATAAAAATTGCCAAACACTCCTTAAGAACAGAAAGCCCACAATGCACAAATCCCAGGACTTCAAAGTCACAAAAGCACATAAGAATCCTTCCACTCTCCATCTCCCTGCCTCATCTCCAGCCATTACTGCCTCCCCCACTGCATTTCTTGCCTGTTTGCTGCTGCCAGCACAGGTGGCTGCCACAGCAGTTGTAAATCAGCTCATGGCCAGCCTGCTTGATCTCTCCTCTCCCCCCACCCTCCTCCTCCTTTCCCTTCAGTGCAGCTAGAGCTGACTCTGCCTCCTCCCAAGGCTGCTGCTTTTTTTTCTCTCCCTCTCCCACCCAAACTGCCTCCTTTATAGCCTCTCCTGTCTCCGTCCCCCTCCTCCTCCTCTCTCATGGGCAAGAAGTGAGCCTGGGGCCTTTGCCTTGCCCCAGCAACTCTGCTGCTGCAGAGGACTCTCTCACAGTAAGTCCTTGCCTGTGCTGGCTCTTTCCCTCCCCCACTACACTTGGCTAGGCAGGGCTGCATACCACCTGCCACTTGTTAATATACCACAAGTGTTACGCGTACCACTGGTTGAAAAGCTCTGGACTAGAACAGTGGTGGCGAACCTTTTAGAGACGGAGTGCCCAAACTTCAACCTGAAACCCACTTATGCATCGCTGGGTGCTGGGGGCGTGGCCACCGAATGGGTGTGGCCACTGAATGGGTGTGGCCAAGTAGTGTGGCTATGGTAGTCATGGCAGCATGGGTGGGTGTGGCCAGGGTGTGTGTGGCCACCTTGATGTTGCTCCTGGTGAGAGATGCCTGTGGGGGCCGGGCAGGATTGGGGGTGATCCAGGGGTTCTCTGGTGGGTGAGGCAGTGGGTAGGAGGGTTGTCCTGCAGGGTGAAGTGAGGCAAGGAAGGGGCAGGGCAGGGGTGCCATTGCCTTGGGGCAAGGCAAGGTGAGGCAGGGGCTAGGGCAGGTTGCAGATAAAGTGGGGCTCCTGTGAGGAGGTGGAAGAGGATTTAAGCAAGCTTAGCAACCAGAGTGGGGATCCCCCCCAAAACAAACGTGCTTTGTGAGTAACCTCAAAGCACGACAGAAGAGACCAAAACCTGCTGCAACCACCCAACAGATGGGAGGGAAATTAAAAACCAAACAGCTCCCCCCTGCCGCCAATCGGCAATGAAAGCCTCGGACAGGGGGAAGAGCGTGGGCGGGCAGGCGTCTTGCTCAGCTGATGGCTTGGAGAAGGGTAGCTACATCCCCTCCCAAACGCTGCCCTCTCACGAAAGCAGGATGAAAACTCCAAAAAGCAACAAGGAAAAAAAGTTAAAACAGAAGAGTATCTCGCGATCGTTTTCTTCCCCACTTCCTTCTAGCTGCAGGCTAAATATGTAAAGACCACAAAAGAAAAAACTTGGCTTTCTCTCATTTTAATTCAGAAGGAAGGAACGGGAGGATTGGGGGGTTTCAAAGGAAGGGAAAGGGGCTGGGGGAGCACAGCAGGAGAACGGCGATGGCACAAGGCTTCTGGCTATGCAGGGGGGCATTGGGGCGCGTTCTTTTTAAAAGAGCAAAACGAGGCAAAAAGTAAAAATCCCCCACTCCACCTCCCAAAAACACAACAACGGAGCTTTCATTGATACAAACAAATTTTTATTGAAAAAGAAAAGTTTGCATTTGAATGAACCTTTATTATCAAAGTATAACATGTATACAGTGAGATTGGCTGAGCCTCCTTCCGTGCCCCCCACAACTCACAGTGACTACAAACCCCCAACTTATTACACCCTGTGGCATGCTTTTAAAGAATTAATGTGATTTTTGCTGTTGTATGCCTGCTGATAACTTATCTACCCTTGGCTCATAGTCTGTAATTTTGAGAGCAACACATGCAGCACTCAGGTCAGCTGTTAGTCTGCTTCTGGTGTCAGATTTTATATAATTCAAAGCTGAAAACAGCTGTTCACAGGCGTA